GTTTCGAAGAAGAAGAACAAGACAACGTTTTCCCAAGAATAGTTCCATAGCTCCACAGAACACTGAAAAGATCGGGAAAATCGATGAGGATCAAACATCGAGGGGCAAAGAAGAATATGCCTGGACAGAGCCAGTATGGTCACTATTCGCGAAAAAGGTGTCAGATAAACACGATATTTTTTCCAATAAGGAATGTAGCTGTTGAAACGAGAATGAAGGATTATCAGATAATAAAACATGAGTGGAAGTTTGATGTATTTGAAAATAATGGCAAGAAAAGTATGTTTGTATGCATGTTTTCATTGCCTTTGCTAATGTTATATTGTAGCCTCAAATTAAGTCTCCATTTAAAACTCTTAATTTATATTTCTCTGATTTAAATCTTTCAAATGGCGGAGAATTAAATTTCGGAGCCGCAATCTGTACAACTTGTTAAACTCAAGCTCTAATAAAAAGGTTATTTAAAACCTTCTAAGGATTTAATTCACATAGTTAGCGAAAATTCGCTTAAATCTTAATAGGGTTAAATAAGTTTAACTTAGAAATTAAAATAAATTTAAATTTGAATCCGTTTGAAATTTGAAATTAAAATCCAATAAATTTGAAATCCGTTTTCCTAACCATAACATATTAATTTAAATTAGCACTTAAAATATTAGCCGAAATTTTTCATCATATATTTCTAATAATGTATTTCACAAATTTTATGCTTATGTTTGACCAAAAATGTTTCTTTACGTAAATTAAGAAGAAATTAGTAAATTAAATGAGAAATAATGAAAACTATTTTAAAAAATGTACTTTTTTTTCCAAAGACAAATTTAAATGAAATGTAATCTTATGTTCTATTGAGCAAGGCACACAAATACGTAAATAACATTCTTGAACAAATATTGATAAATGTTTTTATTCCGAACTCTTTCTAATTTTGAGAAAGCAATTCTAATATATTTGACGAAACTACATTAAAAGTTAAAACTTTTCATCAATACGTATTTTAGGCAACGAATTTTTTGAAAAGTTTATCTTTTTAAATTTAGATTTTTCGCTTTGAGTTTATTGTTGAGACGTATGTTATAAACCTAACTGTGGGAGTTCAAAAGTCATTTCATTTCTTCAACAAGGTTCCAATGTAGTATCCAGCAGAAATGCTAGTGATATATAGAGAAAGAAGTAGAAGTCCATCTCCTTCTGTTGCTTTACAAATGACATTATTTCTTCTGTTAAGAGAGGTAACATAAAAATCATTTGGAAAATTTCCTTTACGTTTTGTTTTCGGAAGGTCATTTTGAGGTTGTTGCAGATATTCGTCGACAGAAAGATCCATCTTATTTTGTTCTTCGTTCTAGTTTAATTTTCGTTCAGTGTATTTGTGTTTGTGACTGTTGAGGACATTATCACCAGAATCTGGCAATATATTTGAAATTACGTGAGTGACGTTTTCTTTCATGGTTACTGTGTCGCTTCGAAAACAGTCATTTCCACTATTAGTCGTAAAATGACTAGTGTCACAGGAATCCATTCTAAAGTTATCTGTCGGTAGGTCGGCTAAATTACTATCATCTTGATTGTGTGTATCTCCACTAATTGTGTTGATGCTCTTCTCACTTTTCTCAAGGGAGTTTCTTGCCTTGATATCCGATTCAATCTTAGTGGATGTTTCATTTTCTGTATTATTTGATACTTCACAGTTTTCAGCATATATATCAGCGACCTCCTCTGATTGAGTATGGCCAGATCCATGAAATGAATTACTCTTCAATTCTTCACCATCGATAACATTTTCATAAATGTCCTGTAGATCGTTGTAAATTTCACGTCTGAAGTCTTCTTTAACCGTTGTTAATACGCTTTCTTCAGAACCTCCATTCTTGTTCTTTGGAGGAATTTGACTGTTTGCAGAGGAAAGAGTTGTATCACCAATCTGTCCACAGATCTATTAAATTAATTTCATCTTCCCGGTTCATGTTAGTAACGAAGATAGGACTCATGCTTATCTCCTTATACGCCAATGGAATCTTACATTGGATACGAGATTTCTTTTCATCCGAAATTTCTGGATATCGTCCTACAAGTGTTTCTCTTGTTTCTATCAAAAAGCTTCTTATGCTATCATTTGCGTCGACATTAATTAGCTTTGCACATTCATCAGTTTTCATTTCGTTCCCGCAGAATATTTTCCCAGAATTGTCTTCATTTTCATTAACAGCAGAAATTTCGTGAGAGATTTTTCTATCTTGATAATATACATCACATTCCGTAGAAATGTTAGGAAGGACAATATCGTTTTCTCGTCTAATACGTTTCTTAGTTGGCAACATTGATATATCCAGAATATTTTGTGTTGCATCAAAATTCCTATTTTCATTGGGTTTCAAATTATATGCATAAGTTTTATTACTTCTATTTGCACAAAATGATACATAAAACATTGTCATATAAAACAATATAAGCACACAACTTGCCTTCAATCCAAGATAGTTAAAAACGCTGGAAGCCAAAGCATTCGTTGGCACAAAAACCACAATCGCTGTTGGTATCAAGGGAAAAAATACGAAAATTATTTTACTCAGCTGTCCATGCATTATGCACTGCAATCGCCGTTTTACAGCTCCCTTTCACCACCTAAAACAGTTTCTGATTATCAAATCGCTTTTCTATAAAGCTTTAAATTATCAAACTAAATCACTTTCTGAAAGCAGTTCACCCCAGAAAGAAAATAAAGCTTTATTTGAAATGTATTGTTCAAATTACTTTTCCAACAATATTGATCCCTTTTATTCGAAGAATTCTTTAACAATGCAAAAAGCTGTAGGAAACCTAACAAACCCTTTTGGTTTGTAACAGCCTTTTATATATAATAATTAATAATATCTTCTTCGTAATATTGTATTGCTATATGGAAATTTTCGGTGCTGAAGTACATAAATCCGGAATTATACCTGTAGCTGCAAAATTAAAATTTACAGAGATTTTTTAGAATTTTATAGTTAGACTAGCTGATACACGCCCGCTTTGCTGGGCACACTATCTATTTGAATGTGAATCTAAACTTCTTATATGAAGGAAATATCTAATTTCGAATTGATAACTATTGTAAATTTTTTTAATCTAAAGTCGTGAAATATAGCGCCAGTCAGTGAATCTGTCATGCACAGATTTCCACATCACCCATGAGGTACTGTGTATTGGGATGCATCTCCATTATTTAGCGTGGTGAAATCCCCAGAAGGCCTACACCACGAAAAATTATCAACATAAAACTAAGGTTTATATATATTTAATTGTTATCATAAGTTTCATGAAAATAAATGTTATTATTAAGAGAAATACATTATTGTTGATGAAAAATAAAAATGTTGTTGCTATCTATAAAAATAGCCACAAATAAAAAGTCAAGGTCAAGTAATTATCATTGATTAAAAAATTTGATAACAAAGATAATAATATTTGTTTTCATGAAACTTATGATAACAGTTAAATATAAATGTTATTATTAACCTTATTATTTAAATGATGCTTGTATTAGTTGGATAGATGCAAGTTATTTACCAATTAATAGTTGAAATGGAAAATGCATTCATTGGCAATATTGTATTTCATGTTTAGTTTTGGCAACAATAAAAGAAAATTCTGAACTTGGATTTGAAAACCAAATGTATGAAAACTTCTATTGTATAACAAAAATCCATTTTGGACATTATTTAAGTAAAATTCGTTCTTAGTGCGCGTTTATATCGTGGAATGAGGATCTATGCAAAATATCAAGTCAATCGGATGCATAGTTTCGGACATCTCTTGATGTGTCAGTGGTATTTCGCTTATATATATAGAAAGATAACACTGGAATTTTCATTAAAGGAATTTGTTTTCCAAAACAATAAATTATCTTTTATTTCTTAGTTTTTAAATTAAGAAATTTCAGTTATCATCGACCAGACACTAGATATTAGATACAACGTTTTGAAGTTATTAACATTTTAAGTAGCATTTAAAAACAACATAAAGTTTTAAAGCATATTTGTTACTAAAAATAAAAATGGTAATTAAAAAGCATTTATTTGTTTAATAATAGAATAACAATAACAGAAAATTCGTGAAGGTTTTTATTTATCCCTTAATTTATTATCTTCATTTGGTACTTTTTCCTTCACAGTTGGAAATGGATAAATTAGTTGATATTAACTGCTATATCCGAATTATATTCTGCAGGATTTAATTATGTTACGTCTTAAAAGAACTTTAATAACTAAACTTAATGCAGTTTTCGAAATGTTTTTTGCACAATAGGAACAACAAGAATTAATGAAGCAAATATATCATTTTTCGTTTGCAAAACGAATATGTTTGTGTATTGTCTCTCCTTATCTAATAATAACGTCTTTCCCTGTCTAATAAAGCGTAAAAGCAAAGTGGCAAAAGTGTCAATAAAATAAGACCCTTTCGAAAAGTGAAATCTCTGTGTAAATGAAGATAATGCAACATCAAGGAAAACTGGAGAACAGTTTCTCCTTTAAATAGTTTCTTATAATTCTGCCAAAAGAATTCACGCTTTTATAAGCTAATTAATCGTTATCTGAATTGACGTTGAATTGATTCCTCTTACTCTTGTTTAATATAGCAATCTCTGAAATAAAAAGTGCGAAGGGATTTATTTGCTCGATGCCTTTGTTGACAGAAGGATACAAATTAAACTTTAATAATAATAATAATGATGATAACACATTCGAACAAAATTAAGGTTAAAAGCATAAAAAATTAATAAAACAAAAGAAATATTAAGTAACTTTTTATTGAGATTTTAATGTATGTGTCTGACAGATATTGATTCTGTGTAAGCATCAGGTAATGCGAAAATGTTGCTGGCATTTCGTGTCATAACGAGCTATCGTATTTGCCTACGTATATCTGTGCTGGGAATCTTAAGCAAAACATCATTAATACTTTCACTTAAAAGAGTGTTTATTGAGCTAAAACTTTTGCTTTCTGGTAATCTTTACAGGAACTTTCTTCGTGAAAAACTGGACGCAAAAAACCTATCCGCATAATCATGTCTCTTGGGAAGTCAGATCAGACAGCTTGGCATTTTGTGACCGACTTCTGCAGTTACCCGAAGCAATAAAACGGTAAAATATTCAATGATTATGTATTACTTGTTGCGATCTCAAATCTTCCTGCTCTTTTAACTTTTGCACCGTGATGCTCTCAGAGTTGCAAATGGTACATTTTGTTACCCCGGAATGATCACTGGTAAAGGAATTTTGAGAAGAAAACACAAAAGCTGTTTAAAGACAAAGCACTCGCATTCAAAATATAATATTGCTTTTTTTTATTTTTCCAACTGTATTTTACTTCGAAGGTCATTACATGACAACTGCAAGTACAGAGCTATTTCAGTAGTACTTGCTTAAATTTATTTGATATTGTTCATAAAGGAGTTACAGTAAATAAAGCTGTTTAGTATACCACCAAAATGGAGAAAGCAGTGAAAAGTATAAGTAATTTACAATGCTTACGTATGCTGCGTTGCTCAGAATGATAACAGTTGCACCATCTATATAACAGCTTGTGAGCTAAAATAGTAACAATTAACGTATGTTACCAGCTAACATCATGAAAGATAGTCTTTGGTGTTTCATATCCGTAACAATTATTAAATAAGGAAAAGCAAAAGTTTGAACACTATCAGTTTAATTAATTAATAACTGAAATAAGTCGCAATAAAAAACTCTGCTAGAACGATGGTTCAAAAATAAAATCAATCATATGTCAAGGAATACTTCTGAGTTACTTAATAGCATTTTATTGTTGTTTAATTTCTAAACTAATGAAAAAACAAATGAAAACAAATGATGAAAGGTTAAATTATAAAAAAATCAGAGTTTGGATTTTACTGAGAATGACATCCTGTGCACTTGAGTTATACGTAAACTTTAATACCGCATGTTCTTAACTCAGAAGATAAAGTTCACTGAATTGCATAAATCTAATGTTGCTTTTTATGGTTTCGTGGATGTGGAGTAATTGATGATAACATTTGATGAAGAATCAAAACACAGTTTCTTCATCGGTAAGCACTATTACACAAGGTAGTTCCAAAAACACATTCACAGTTGTCGAAAAACTGCGACAAACATGCTGAAACAATCAGCAACACAACCGTCAGGCTATAACGGTGAAGACAGCTTCCCGGCAAAGCTCTAGAGTAGAGCTCCCGACTCGGTCGATCGCTCTCAAGTTAAACACTGAAATCAAAATACAACTCTCGGACATACAGGGTATACACAGCTTGAGCCAACCTTCGAGAATATCCTCGAGAAAAATGCGTTCTAGAATATTCTCGCTCACTCTGTGGCATATCGAAAAATTTTGTCGCCAAATGGGCGGTTTCGCGCCAAATCTGGCAATCCAGCATTTTTCAGCCACTTTCTGGCAACCCTAGCCCCATTTTGCGAGAGAGCTGTCTCCCCGCAACTGGGCCTTTCGCAACACTACTTATAATTTAGATTTAAAATTATTGATTTCAGCTTTAAAATTAGCGACAGAATAAGATTCACTTTGGGAGTAGTGAGAATATCTTAGTATTGATGTAATGTTAACATATTAATGAATGCTTGATAATCTTATATTTTTTTAATAATGACATATTTATGTTTATTTGATCAAAACTGATAGCATAATTTAAAAAGAAAATTAAAGTTTAAACCTGTTTAACCATAAATTACGGCATATTAAGGTAAAAATATCTCATCGGAATTCTAAGAAAATCTCTAGCTCTGTTAGCTCTGTACATTAATAAAGAGTAAAGCCATTTGTAACTTTGATTATACTTAACATGTTCAGGTAATCGATGATTGCAATAAAAATATATTTCATTCTTGAAACAATGTTCTAGAGACTACTTTCTTCAAAACAAGAAATGGAGAGAATCAACTTCGTCCTGGGCGGGAATCTTAGCACAAGTCTTTAAACTGCTAAATATTGCAAATATGCACATCACAGTATCATAAAGACATAGGAGGAATGCGAATAATTTCTTATATCTGTCAACTTTGTAGAACGATTGGGAAGAAAAGTAGTCCCAGTTTATTATTTCCAAGCAGTGATAAGTTATCAACCAGTGCACTGGGCATCGCCGCTGCTCAGATAGTTACATTTTTTTGAGACAGAAAAATGAAGACTTAACTATGCTCTTGTTAGGAATCGAACCAGAAATCTGTCAGGTACTAACTGCATATAATGTGTAACGAATACACCACAAAGATACATACATAGAGAGATTAACTTTAATTTCATTCAAGGCTATTGTACATATTTAGCATATCGTAGTTATTATTTACATCTTCCGTTTCAAAACGGAAAATTACGAAAGTAAAATTCTAATCCTGTTTGCTAAGGCAGCATGAAATTTGTATTTAACATGAATAATTATGGAATCCATATTTGCATAAATTGAAGTTTATATTCTAAATGGTGTTAAATTGCATAAATTTAGATAACTATGATTTAGAATAAAATTATTATTTTCGGTTTGCTAGAACTTTCTTCGCTACCTATGGTTAGTTCAATAAATTGGCAAAAAATTATCCTTAAATAATCAATAATAGATTTTATTTAGATATTTATGCAATCATCACTCATTATAACGATCATCTTGGGGCCGCTGGGAAAGGATGAGCACCATATGATCAATGTGGAAAGAGAATAGTAGAAAGATGGTAATATATTGTTTACCAGTATATTTTTCCAGTAAGACTTTGATTAAGGAACCAGTCATAAGTACGACACATCAAGATACCATTGGCAAGAAAAATTGAAGGAATAATATAGCTGTAAAATCTCATGTGACTTTGTAGAGACATTAGGTATTTTTGGAAGCAGGCAAGATGAAAAATGAGCAAGCGCCTTCGCTGGAAATCGAACCGCGGAACTCTGGAATACCGGCCTAGTGTGCAGAACCACTACACCACGAAGGCACGCTAGGAAGGCGGGAGAAATACCTTATATATCCCCCTTTTAAAGGGCGACTGGGGTTTATAGGGGACTCAATCGCCAAATCCTGGGTGAGGAGAATCATCATCCAGAACTAAAAGGAGAACCCTTTTAGTTCGGGCGCCACTGTAGAGACATTAGGTACTTTTGAGAGCAGGCAAGATGAAAAAAGAGCAAGCGTCTTCGTCGGGAATGAAACCACGGACCTCTGGAAAACCGGCCCAGTGTGCAGAACCACTACACCACGAAGGCACGCTAGGAAGGCGGGAGAAATACCTTATAACTTGAATGATGTTGTAGCTACGAACATGGAACTTGCACAAGATATTTACTTCGTTATGCCTGGCATATATATTTAAATAAGAACAAAGAAAATATGGTATAAAGTGGGGCAGGGAAAAGTTTTTGTTACAACTAAATCGAAAGACGCGCGACTTTCGAAAGTGCATAATCCTACTGGCTGAAACGCAAGCCTTACAGCGATTTCCTTTCGATTCGAAAATTTTATTTTGTCAGAATATTCAAATGTTTAACGCTGTACTTTATTTGTCGTTTCATTTCTTATTCATACACAAAAGTACTAAATATATATAGAGTGCTTAAAAATATTCCATATCGAAATTATCTCTTCAAAGATTACTTATAGACTTGTAGTTTACGTTGCAGCAGTATATTATATAACAAAGGCTTTAGGCGTAAACAATTAGTGCCATGTGCTAAAATTTAATAGTATATTCGAAGCTCAAGCTTAAATATTGGTCTCTTATGCATCTCTCAATGATCACTGCTAGATGCTTTTTATCACAGTCGGAATACACAAATAGAAAATGTTCTCTCTTCATATGATCCAAAAAGACAAAGATATAATTAATTAAATTTATAAAGACTGTACAAAAATATATTAGTAATGAAAGTAATGCATATTAGGTTCTCGAATGCAAATTGTAAAATTCACTTTTCATGTCGTATATCCTACTCGTAGAGCCCGTAGAGCGTATAAATTATTTAACTGAACACGTTTCACCTAAAGAAATTAAATTTTCAAATCATCCCATAAATAAATAAATTTTCTTTGGGTAAATAAAATTTAATTCATCCAGTTTAATTAATTTAGATTCAGGGGTTGTTTTGCATAATAGAAGCTGTAATTTTATTTCTGGAAGAAGAATTTTATTTCTAGAAGAAATTTTAGAAACGTAAGGAACAACTTACTAAAGGCAACCTTTTTTAATAGAAAGACCGTATAAAAATTTTAGTTTTAAGCTCCTAGTGGTATGGAGGCGCAAGATTTTGCAGATAGCACTAAATAGCCTATACGTATTTGGGAAAATTGTGAACCATGTAAATAATATAAGGTGTCTGGGGTTATCATTAACTATAGGCCTATGGGCGTGGCACATTAAATACGTCATACGAAAGCCTGTGGTATCGCCAGCCAACTTTCTGTTCTTCTTGAAAATTACGCTGGACTGTCTCTCAACAAAAATAGAAGGATATAACGGTGCATTATAAGATCAATTCTATGCTACGCATCTGCAGCCTGGGCGTCAACTTCAAAAGGCAGACTTCCACAGACTTAACAAGTACAGAATAAGATTCTGAGAAGAATTATAAATGCAAGTTACATGATTAGAAGTAAACTAATCCATGATGACTTAATCGACTCTGTAGTGGACCACATATAATGAACTTGATAAGCGTTTCTTCAAAACTTGACCTAGCTGAGATGTTGCAGATTTTTCAGCAATCTTTAGTTACCAAATCATTCCAGAAGATAATTTTATCAGACTATTTGCTTCTCACATACTTAAAGATCACAACTTCTTGACCCAGCTTTGACTGCCAACGCTTACTTATATTCTTGCGCGGCGTGACTTTTATTTCTCCTGGATTTCCATTGGATGCAGGAAAAAAGCCACTTTTACCTCACTTTCTGGACCGTTCCTGAAGTTTCACCTGCCAGCTCATCAAAGTAATGTGCCCTCAGTGGCTTCATTTATTCGCTACCCTATACTTTAAAACTTATGCGCCGGTAAATTTAACTGAGCCAAGATTTTTATTTGACTGTGTAGTTTTAGAATACATTATCAGCGTTCGAACTCGCTTGTACGCAATTACATTATATGGATCGTCACAAGTAGTGGTTTGTCTGTAGCACAAGCAGTGTCTTTTATGTTAAAAGTTCAGATTAAAAAAGAGTTATTTAAACATTCGCACGATTCTCATAATATTTCACACGGCCTTTATAATATTTCACTTGTAAGGATAACTCGCTAAGTGTCTAGGAGGATCTGAAGGGACTACTAGCTTCCAGGTCCCTATTCAGCTTTCGGGTCAATAGCAGCCTTACAAATTAATTAGGAAAATGATGCTTTACATTACTGTAAAAGGATTTTATTTACATGCAATGTTACTCTTTTTCTTCTTAATAATAATTATAACTATTTTTTACAGATCACTTTACAAGCATCTGTGCTAGAGGTTTAAATTCTTCACATATCTGAGTTGCTTGTTCGAGCTTATCATAAAAGGCAGATATTAATCTTCGTTCTTTACGGATCAAATCAAGACTGTGAAAAGGACTCAGCAGTAGTATCATTGCTTTCCTAAGAATTTCTTACATGAAGTAGGGAGAAAAGGTACGTATGCTTCTATTAATAAATATATCGGTTTGTACGCAATGAACTGATTGAACATTAGTCACATAGTGTTTCATTATCTAATACTTACGTACCAATACTGATATATAAGCATCTGCTAAAGTATCGACCTATTTGTTCTGCAACGATCCTTTTTCCGCATGCGTCGTTCTTGATTTCTTTTTATGAACAAAATTCTATAAAATAAAGCTATTAATTCCAACAGGCATTATCCCTCGAGCTGTATTATACATTTTTAATTGTAGTTTTGTGATTTATTTCTTCGGAAATCCCAATACAGCATTTCCTACCAGGACAGTTTGGGAAGAAATCTGAAATGATATACATATTTTTATTAGTATTATCTTCTCTTTGAACAATACATCTGAGAAAAGAGTAATGCAAATCTTTGGTCGCAGTTCCGAATCTCCATTATTAGTTTTATTTCCCAGTATTATTTTGATGCAAGTTTGTAACAAATTTATTTCTTTAATTTTCGCTAGTTTTCCTTCCTGTCAATTTCCAGGGATTTTAGCTCTAAGATTTTGTTTGGGTCCACAAGGGGACTGCTGGGCAATGAAGAAAATAGAACTGAATAAGAGGTGGTATCAAGCTTCCCGACACTTCCGTAGCTTTAGAAGAAGTAGTTCTTCAGCAAAGTGACATGGACTGTGAATATACATTTTAAATCTCGGAAAAATCTAGAAAGCTCTGAAAGCATTATTAGAGAGATAGGCGATGAGGACCTACCACCTAGTGAGAAAATGGAAGATGAAAAACCTTTAAGAGAGAGAAGGCCACGAATTAGATATCCTGAGACAGAAATGTACGAAATCGTGATTGATAATCAAGAAACGTTGTCTTGGGAAGATTCCTCGCTGTTACTGGAAAATGAACAAATACTGTATGGCCATGGATAAATGGTAGGCCATGGATAAAGAAATACGGAATGCAGAACAGCAATGATGTATGCATTATGCAAAGGTACAATTGTGTTTGGATTCTAGAATAATTACCACCTAGAAAACATCAATTTTATACACATGGATTTTACGACAAAAACGAGACGGCAAGCATAAAAGCTCGCCCAGGAGTTTATGGCTTCATGCAGGAAGAAGGTACTGACTGTAGTAACACCTATTCACTTGTCATTAATTTATCTGCTTCACGTTTTAGTTATTATTATAGAACAAATAATACGTGTGTTTGTCTAAAATGTTAAAACTGCTTTCTTAAATGGTGATTTAAAAGACATTATTTATATTGATACGAATTTTGTACACAGAGACTTAATTTTAGTGCAATTATATGTAAAATTGTTTTTCTGTGTAATGTAATATGAAAAATCTAAAGAGGTGGCCTATGCCGGAAATACAGACGCACGTCCATTTAAAATTGAAGTAATGGGTGACTCAGTAATTTGATGAGATACTGCCAATAGTCACAAAAATTGGCTACCATGTGGCGACATTTTGGTTCGGTTCCTGTATCACCGTAATAGGTACTGCAAATTAATAAATTTAATTGATCACTATGTTAGCTGTAACTCTAATTCGACCCTCCTATTACGTTCCAGTAATTTCGAGAAGCAGAAAGTACTAGTAATATCTCGGCAGCCGGATGAAAACTATATAAAACCGATGACAGCATCTGCTCTCAGTTGTTGTTAGCTGTTAGCTCGCCGTGAATCCGAAGAATTGAAATTTTTCCGGGTAGCTTTCGCTTTACCTGTGCTTTGCATTGCATTTTGTTTAACGTTCATAGTAGTTTGAAGTGTAACTAGTACTGACTGTACTCTGTGATATTGTGAAGAGTTGTATGATTATTTTTGTGGAGAGTTCCAGATCTCAGAAATGTTTATTTTGATAAAATAAATTTTATTAACCTATCATCGGAGCTGTATGCATTCAATAACGAACCGTACGCACACGACAATGTGGTTCAAACCAAAGGTTATGATGAAGACTGTAGTAGAAATTGTAAATGTAAAATTTATATGGTTTGTAAAGTTTATATATTACTTTATAAGGTATTCCTCTCGCCATTTTAGCATGCTTTCGTGGTATAATGGCCAGCACACTCGGCCCGTATTCGAGAGGCCCGAATTTCGAGTCCTGGGAAGGGCGTTGCTCATTTCTCATTTCTCATTTCTGCTTCGAAATAACATAATGTCTCTACAACTTAACTTTAAGAATAAATATTCTCTATACGCATTTCAAACGTAAGTAACAATGTTTGAAAATAATTATGACTAGTGATAAAAAATAGATCGTTTGAAATAGCATTAATCGAAAACGATTATGGTAAGCATGATGAAACAGCAGAAATCATATCGAAAGTTAAATTGCAATAGAAAAGTTCATGCTGTCAGTTTTGTGGGATTACAAAGCTATGTTCTGAGCTTTTTTCAAACGGTAAAACGATCAGCTGAGATGTTTACTGCCAACAATTCATGAAAATGCAGGAAGCGAAAACAAAAGGGAAAGGGCCAGAATTAGCAAATCCCCAAAATTGCTAATATAACGTTTCGCTAATAAAGACTAAGAGTTCTATGTGCGAGAGAATTTCCAGACAGATAGCAAAAGGTCATCGAACAGAACGGAAGATATTTGACTGATTGGAGTTAAATTTTTCTATAAAAAAAACTGAATTTTATTTCGCACTAAAAAACCGAAATAACTTCCTTGCCAACCCAATAACATTAGGTTAGAGCAATGAAAAAGTGAGCCTTATATGTTTACTGACAAATGTGTACTGACAAATGTGACAAATGTAAAAATAATTATTGCTCTTTATGTAATATGCTCTTTATGACATATTAGTTGCTGGATCAAATAACCATAAATTTGGAGTAATTATTCAGTTGTCAACTAAACATTTCAGATGTCTTAAGTTTGGAGCAGCTTCTAAATTTCTAGGAGTGAGAATACTGCTTATCAAAATTAATTATTTTTAGATCAAAAATCTTGCGGTTGCTTAAAACGTTGAACATGTTTGATTGCAGGTTCTGCTGCAGTCTTGTAGGTGTTGGAGGTGTACTAAAGTTAAATTAGTGTATTCAAAGTGTAATAAGATCTCTCATTTGTTTATGTTTATAGATGCAGATTGGGGGGAAAGCCTAATGACAGAAAATCTATTTCTTGCTATGTTTTCATGTGAAATGTTTGTCCTATACTATGGTATTAATTTAAAAGTCCAAACAAAATCAACGTTATATCTGCGAATTTTCGCAGGACTAGTTTCGATGGAAACCTCAATATAACGCTGATTTTTTTTATATTTGGCTTCTAAATTAATATATTTGTTCGGCGTATTACTTTATCTTAACTATACTCAGCGGAAGTTGAGGTTATTACCTAATCAAAATGTGTTCAAGATTTGTTATGAATCTGTAGTTAGGGAAATCATTGCTATTAAATAGTATGGCAGTGTCTGAAGATAGCCAATCAATCATCTTGAGAACATAATCTTAATGAGAATAATTCAGAGAAGTTGAAACACATACACATTAAACTTAAGTTTCTTCGTGAATATGTAAAAGTATAACATAATATAAAAATTGGATTTATTTCTTCAAGTGCACAAATTGATTCCGTGTTAACAAAGTCTTTACACTATTGCAAGCTGAATAAGCATTTACTTCTGCGTCTTCTAAAGTTACATTAATTTAGTTAATATTGCTGATTAAGGGTGATGTAGTGGATATAATCCCACACGTACTATGCTACTAATTTCATGCTTCTAATTAATAGAAAAAACATGTATAGCTCACCTCTAAGTCCGCAAAATTAACCAATACTGATTGGTGATTTCGGTGAACTACGCATGTTCATTTTATACTCATGTATAAATAACGGCACAATCAGTCTATCAGGTGATAGAGTGCAAGAAATTTCATAGGGCAGTATGTTGCAGATGAGCTTAGTAGCTATGATTGCTGTCGGTGTTTTTGATATGTATATATATATGTATATCAAATAATATATACATGATCTACAAAACAGTAATAGATTAGAACCATTACCTATTGGATATAACGCTTTAAATAGAGCTTCAGGTAAAATCGGAAGGCTTAAATAGTAGAAATCTATGAAAACCCTTTTGTGAAGCGTAAAAAATAGAAGCGAATCGAATACAATTGTTTACTGAAAAAAGAAGCATCAGTTCCTTCACTGTTTTGCCGGAAAGACTAAGGCATCTTTCATGACTCCAAGATTTTCATGACCTTCATGATCTGTGAGCGGATGCGTAATTATTGATACTTCATAATAAGCAGTTTGATTTAAACCGTCTAAAACGAAAAAAAAAAAAAACTTTTTTAGTATCTCACTGTTATTAGTTACAAGTGACAGAAAATAAAATTGCGCAGTTGCTTAATAATAAAAGAATTTAAACCAGAGATATCAAAGAGAAATTAAAATTAATGAAATGTAATAATTTTTATTTTATATATATATACTTTCTAATGCCGGGCACAATTCGTCACAGACGTTGTCCACGAATAAGGCGAAAGCGGTGGTTACGTTACTATAGAGATACCTAATAGGTGGTCCACCGTTGTTTCCTATGAAGGAATAGGCAATTCACATCTATGCTTTCTCCAGGATTTGAACCCGGGCCCTTTTTAATACATATGAGCAAAAACATTGAATTGTTTCCTCAAAGCAACATAATATCAAAACTACCTGAAGTATCATTTCTAAATTCTTCGAAGATATATATTAAAGACAGCTATGCATAATGGAGAAGAAGATATTGCTTGACGTTCAAGGCTATAGATTTGCACGATTAACTAATTTTTAGCAAAATAAATCCATCTAGTAAGCGGATGCTTTAATGTAATGGTGTGGCATTATTATGAGATGGTGTGTAATTAACACCAAAAGAGGTAGCTCTAGGCGTTGAAAAGAAAGTTACATGTGCCCAATACTTGCTGGTTTACACTACAATTTAGTACATTGCGTTAATAACCTTAGAAAGAGAAATACATTAAACATTTC